AGTAAGTCAGCGCTCCAAACCATCAATATTCAATTCTCTAAAAAAATTTTTGTGAAACAGTGTACTGCTAATTAATTATGAAAAATATGCAAAATTTTTATAAAATTTCCAAATTAAGTCAATTCTTAGTAAGTGATAAAAACTGTGCTATACTGCATTCTATTTATCAGTTTATGGAGTAGCTATAATCCATTGAGAATTTGCTTCAGTAGAATTATTATCATACTGAAACCATCCTGATACTTTTTTTTGCAGCCTCATGAATTATCACGCGAATATAACATCTATTTTATTGCTTAACTGAATGCCTTCCTTATTCCTTAGTCATTAGATTATCAGAATGACTCGACAAAAAAAAATTGAATAATGCTAATGGGAAGGAAAATTCCCTTCGCAGAGTATATTCTATTATGCATATATATATATATATATATATATATATATATATATATATATTTGTTCATCCCACACTGCATTGATAATATTTCATAGTAAAACTTTGTACCTCATAGAGATTATACCCTGAAGAGTGGGACTATGTGTAAGCAATATGCTGTATGTTAGTTGTCAGTTTGTAGGTGTGTGCGTGTGTGCTTGAGTAGATGTATATATATATATATATATATATATATATATATGCTCAGTTCTGTAGACATTTGATGGAATCATCTGATTAAAGGTTAACAGCTAGAAAGAAACAAGTGTGGTTTCGCCTTTTTACAAAATTTTTTTTCTCTTCAACTTTTTTTTTCACAAGAAAGGCTGAAAATCAAAAACAAAAATTCAAATGGTTTGTTTGTTTTTTCATAGAAGAAAATAATAAGTTTTTCGAGAAAAAAATAAGCAAACAACTAAACCTACTCTTCACTCCACTTTTATTTTTCAATCTATATATATATATATATATATATATATATATATATATATATATATATATTATAGAGATAAGAAAAGCTTGGGTATCATGGGAGTAATTCAAGATGAGTAGATTAAATCTGACATTATAGACTGTTTGATTTATTTTGAGTACATCTTTCTTGGTGGTTAGTTAGTTAGTTAGTTCAACTATATTTTATTCTATCTATAAGTTTTGTATTTGTAACAGAGATGAAAACTATTGAATGCTTGAACTAACAACAGGGGAATTGAGGCATGAGAGGAAAGCAGAAGTAATATAATAGTGGAGACAGTAAGGGAGGTTTTACTATCTGCCTACTGATACTATTATTACTCTACTACTACTACTACTTATATACCACTTGAAGTAGTATCAACACTACTCTATCTGTATCATCACAACTTTTTTTCAATCAGATAAAAAGACCTGAGTAGTTTATCAAGTCAGAAATCTATCAGAGTCTTAGAATGAAGAAGAATTTTATAAAAATCGGTTATGTTAGTTTACTCAATCTATTTCACTTCGATTTATCCATCAAGTGAATTGAGGATAATACTGCCTCTTATCGGTTTGTGTATTTATGTGTGCGTGTGTGCTTGTGTAGAAGCAAGCGAAAAATTGTTCCTCTTCCTCTACTTTATCTTGTAATATAAACGAAACACATATAACAAGAATGTATATGAACGTGTGTGCAGATATGCACGCACGCACGCCCACGAACTTATTTACACCAAGAAATTCGTATTGTGAAAGGACGTTTTTCAATTTTCAATGAATACTTTATCTCAAAGATGTGCTGCTGTATAAGAATGAAAAATGTTCTTATGCAGTTGAACTAAATATGCATATATACATAAAATACTCAAACGTTTGGAAATTTCGTATCCTGATGATGACCACGATTAACCCGACTTTGCTTGTAATACCACCGACAAATGATGCACGCTTAGCATTCCAGCAGCCGCTTCCACTAAGAATAGAACTCAGACAGTGGGGTGGACAAATGGTACAGCGAAACAATAATCTTCAGTGTATAATACACGGGGCGTATTTCATGTAGTTATGTACACAACTAATTATGTCCATAGTATCATCCAGAAAACCGTGCCGTCAAATTTTTCTTTTGAGACGTTTAATAAATAAATATGAAATTCAAGGGCAGTCCATTATTGAAGAAACAGACACCAAAAGCAGAAATTTTTTTTATCTCTACTTTTTTTCATTCTGTATTTATTTTTGTTATGTGCTGTTTTGTTTCTCTCTTCCTTACAAACTCTACTTAAAACATTCTTGTTCGTTCTTTCACACTCTGTATACCTCGACCATTTTGCTATTGCTTACGCCAGTAAATATGCTAGTAGTATCTACTTTTCTAACACCTTCAAACACTCTGTTTAAATTTTGGCTTTCCTACCGACATGCTAATATGTTGTTGTCAAAACTGACTGAAGACAAGTAGTTCAGCGAAGAGTCTCTTTTCGGCGAATTCATTTTCATAGCTGTACAATCGCAAATATATATGGTTATTTTGTGTGTGTGTGTATACATTAAATTTGTCAAACGAAAATACAATTAGTAAGTTCAGATGAATTGGATGTTGATAAGAGGATGGCAACAAAAGTGATGAGTTGTCAAAAACGATTGTTAAACAGGAGTAAGTTCAGGTGAATTGGACGTTCATATAAGAGGATAGTAACAAAAGTGATGAGTTGTCATAAATGATTGTTAAATAAGAGTTACGTAATGGCATAAATAGTTTGATGAATGAGTTGTGCTCAAAGGGTGTACATGGAAACAAAATAATATACAGAATTACACAAGGGTTTTAAGTTAGAAAAATAAGCATACAAACAGAAGTAAGGGCAAATCAAACAAACAAAGAAAAGTTAGGTCAAATCAAAGGAGTAGCTACCATGCGAGTAGAAGTGGTTGGATAATTTTCTTTTGTATGCATAGTTCTGGTTCCGCCAACTGGATGGCTAGGGCTTCTGCGATGCAAAGAAGACGGAATCGTGCTGTCTTTGGAAGGTTGTTCTTCACTTTGTAGATTACTTTGAAGGAGGCGTTCGTTGAGATGGAATGACCAGTATTGACGAGATGTTCGATTATTGCACTCCTTATATGGCCATTATTTCCTTTCTGTAGCCACTGACTGAGATAACCTTAATCTATGTAGAACTATATTTATTGATAATGTACTAACTGGATGCAATATTGTAGTAAAATGCTGAGAATTTCATTCTGTATCACAAGTACTGATTTGGAATAAAGCTTACCTTATCTTATCTTAAAACACCCCTCCTGTCAATATTTTTATAGTGATGCCCTGATCCTTGAATCTGCAATGTCATAAACTTTGAAACTAACGGATTTATTCAAAATCTTTCCGTTAAAACTTTTTAAATTTTCCTTCTACTCTGTCGACTATATTTCCTGTTCTTATATCTGTGGACTGTTGCACTGACAATGCACATTTTTAGTTTATTTTTCTTCATTTCGTGAATTTAAAAATTTGAAAATATCATGATCCGTTTAACACGATTAGAAATCTAGTTAGGAGTGGTATACATAATATCACTGGTTGCAGCCGCACATACTTCTCTTGTCTTTGAATTTATTCCATTAATTGCATTCTCCGTTTCTAAAGCTCATAATCACTGGCTAAAATTGCGAAATGACAGAAGTTGGAATTCATGGGCCATTGGATTCCGTCCCAGAGGTTGAGTAGTTATCGACCTCACCTCATAACCTGTAGGTCTCGGGTTGGATCTCTACTGAGAGTCTCAAACTAGAAATAAACAGTCGTCCAGTACTCCCTCGTATCCAATGCCTCCCTAAATGGTATCAGTACGTGATCATACTTAAAACAAATAAAATCCGTACAAACTAGCTCTTAAAAATTGAAGTGGTGCAGATACATTTAGAAGACATGATTCTTTTCGCCTGTGTGCATTTTAACACTCATTAGTTCGCTATGTCACTTCATTTTTTGTCCTATAGTTCTTCAAAACTATCATTTATATTATTTCCGTATTTCTTTTCCCTTCAAATTACATTCTGATAACTGTAAATGTGGTACATCAGATAGTTATTTGGTAATGAACACTTCTATGTTAATAATTTTCAGCTGAAATGTCACTTTAATATCCTAATGTACTTTCACTCAAGCGTTTGACAAATTTACACTGAGTACCTTTAGTGAACAAATTAAAAGCTGTCCTTCACTTGGATGACTTTATTCATAGTCCTATCTCAGTGACCATCGATCTGAGGGAATGCAGAAATAATATCTTTTTTAGCTTGGATATAATCGTAAATTTTATGACATTTCGTAATAGTTTACTTTCTTTTTGATTTACCCAGTTTACAGGTAGAAGTTTCCATATCAGTTTAGATATCATAACTTCTTTGAGCAGAAATAAAATATGCACACTTTCTATTAGCCTTAGTAGAAAGTCTTTACTGGACAGAAAAACACTCTAATTTGTTACCTGTTCTCTTGTTCTTGACTAGTTTTAACTAATTAAGAAGATTTATTTAACCTTTCAGTGTTATACCGACTCTTGATTACCTCTCTCTCTCTCTCTTAGGTCTGTATTTCTGATATCTGAATACTGTATTGAACGTTGAGAGCAAGTTCAGTCAAGCAATCGTTACTCACAAGAGAGATTCAGTAAAGATGAATATAAGTCAAAATAGTATCCATATCAGATGAGTTTGTTTTAGGTAACATAGTGCTACAGAACTGGTAACTGGGGAAAGTTTCCAGCACAATTTTCTGTTCATAAGAAGAAATATGTGCAATTATACTTTGCTACAGTGCCCTGGTAAAACGTTAATATACTCTTCTCCTTAGAAGGAATTTTCCTTGCCTTAGTTTCTTCTTAGAATGAACTTAAAACGTTATTGAAACAGTTGTCGAAACTCTGGAAACAAAAGAGATCTTCTTCTACACACTTTATTACCTATCTAATTGGTACTGATAGTCTTAGCAAAGAGTTATTACGTAATACTAGTGTCAAATGTCATTAAAATTATTCATCTCTTAAATGTTGTATAGTCAGATAAAAAAGTAAATACAATATTTTGAATTAATTTTCAGTTTATTATATCACGTGACGGTAATTGTGGTCTAAACTATGAACATTCTGTCGCTGAAGGCATCGCTGTTGTCCGTCTGATTGAACACATTCTACAGTACATGTAAGTCAGTACAAAACTATTGTATTTTACATCAGTCAGTAGGTTACGCAAACATTGTATTGCACCACAGTATTAGATATGATTCGTAAAGGCAATACACTTCCAACTTGACTAGACTACAGAAAGGACTGAAGATTCGAAAATTTAGATCACTTCATAAGTATATCACTGACTTGATTGTTAGCTCAATTATTCCTTTGTATATATTGTTACACAAAATCCTAAAGTTGAAGAATTTATAATATTACAAAGTAGGGTTAACGATATACAAATAGAAAAGTGAGAGATTACTTGAGAACAAAGTCAACTTTATACGCTGAATTAGACTAAATCAGTCGATGGGTAGCCTGTGTTGTTTAGCGTACATCAGGAGTTGTATAATTCAGTCATCAAGACTTCACTATCTGGCATTCAGTACACTGACCATCAAAACAGATTTTCAGGAGAAATTATTTCTAAACTGTGTATTCTCAACTTGAAAGATAATCATATTTACTTATCTGATGAACTGTTCACCTGAAGTATGAATATTCTAATTCAAGTTAAAATACATTAACAAGTTGTTTATAATCATTTTTTCTGCTTAGAAGATGACCAGTTAGAAAACACTGATCAAGGATCACATTTTTTAAAATGTACCATATTCTGTTAATAAATATTTCAGAATAAAAATGTCTTCATTAAAGGCTGAAGCAGTTGATACCCTTAGGCCATAGATGTTATTTTAAACATTGCCCAAATTGCCACGAATGACATGTGATTTCAAAGAATAACAAGGCAAAAGTAATAATGTATTAACCATTGAATTTCAAGCGTAGTCTTTATAAGAAGAAGCTATGTTTCAATAGTTTTGTGGCTTTCCAAGCTTAGGTCTTCCTGCACAGTGTTTCTAGCTTCAAAATACCCTTTATCGTTGTAAAACCCTTCCTGAGAAACTGAATAACTACTGAGGAGAGACGGATGAGTTCGAAATATAACTTCAGTTTCAGTAGAAGATGAAATGAAATCATCTCAGTCATCAGTCTGTTGCAGTTACAGCAGCATTACCACTGAGCCTGGCTTTTACTAAAAACCCTTGGGATGTTTAATTTACACCAGGTTATCTCGACGATGTCTTGCCAACGATATTAATTATCTCCGGTACTTTTTGGCACATTACATTGCTTCTTATGTAATGGCTGGTTGAATTTACTGTCGATAAGCAGACAACAGTCTATGTAGTGACTAAAGTGATTTCTGATGACAACTAAACAAAGATTATTATCTAAAGAAAATCATGATTTTACCTCAGTGCAAACAATTTAGTGGTTTGTGTCACTTTAAGGAATCTCTATATGCCTACAGTCTAGGTGAAAACCATCAAAATATCAATTTTGTTTGCCTAATTCTACGAATCCAACAAATTTCAACTTTGAATCACTATAGCAGAAAGCTTCCACTTCACCGAGTGGGAGTCTTGTTTACTGAATTGTGTGTAATGCTTTTGATTTGGATAAATTTGGATAAATTCATCGTAGATATCTGACTAAGTAGACCTCCGTATGACTATTGTTACCAATACTTACTACTTGCAAATTGATATGAGTAGTGTAGTGTATCGGCGAAATAATGATAATTTGTGTCAGAGGGAAAGCCAACGAAGAAGGAACTCAAGAAGAAGATGAAAACACCGAGAAGAATCTAATAGGCAATAAGCGAAGAAGGACAGAACGGAATCGATGGTATTATTTGGAAATTGTGAAATCAATGTATGACTGAAGACTTTCATGTTGTTCATTGTATTTTATTCCAACACCACTATTATTCAGCCGCTTACAATCATTTGCTATGATCCCACCTCTACTAACAATTATACTAATAGCAGTAGTACAATTACACAGTGTTAAGACATCAAAATTTCTGCATTGAAAACACATATTTGTATGCAAGAGACAATGACAGTAATGTCTGTTTAAATTATAGGAAAGAAGTAAAACGATGGAAGTTAGTTCGATTCCCATCTGTTTGTGAATTGGCGTTTCCAAGAAGATTGAAGTGGAATCTGGACAACAACACAAAATCAATGATTAATTACGCTTTAAATGAAATCGACAAGTAAGAATCTTTTTGTTGCCTACTGATATAAGTAAATACTCTTCTTTTTAAAATAATTTATTATTTACATGATCTCTGTTCACCCTCATCTTGTTCTTCAGATAATTGTAACACCGAGAAAGATCACTCCAATGCATGTTTACCGATAGGTGGTAAACTGCTACTGAAGGCCTTATCGTAAGAATATGATGAAGTTTGAGATTAAGTTAGTCACAGGCAGAAATAGCTGCATATAAACTACCTTTTGATCTTGCCCATCAATCTGTTAACATAAACTATCAATGAATAATGAAGCGTTAAGAAATAATATTCTAGGTATCACTTTTTGTGTGTGCACAGTCATATCAGAGTGAAATAGACCAATTGACAACTACTGCCTATGGCGTACTCACAAGTAATTACCTCATTTTGGAGTTAAGTAAAAAAAGTCGTAGATTGTCTTAACTCAAACTAAACTAATCAACCTTTCTAAATTTATTCTTCATTATGAAATCAACTCACCTATTGAGATTTTAGAATCCTTGTCTTAGATTTCATTGACCGTTGAAAATCACTCAGAGAACGCTCTTCGTTTGCATGTAATACTACTACTTTAAAGAGGGAAAGACTCATGAGGCTCGAAGGTAATGTTTATTACGACAAACGCATTGTAGGCACATAAATTTTGTATACCTTATCTTTAAGTCTTTATTTGCACATCATTTTCAAATTGGTCGAATATCACCCACCACATTCGATAGCTTGTTGGATTCTGCACAGTGGTGTAAAGTTCTTCCCATAGTTCTCTTCTTAGACTGCTTTTTTCCAGTGCCCAAATCATAGTATTATTTTTCTGAATTCGTTTACTGATATACTGCTTATGTCTGATTATAAGTAGCACTTACCACACTACTACTAGTTATATGTTTTAGGTAAAAAGATGATACATTCCAGGTGTATAATTCTACATTCTAATAAGTGATATTTTAAAAGCATATAAAAGAAAACAAAAATTCAACAGGTCTATGTATGGTAAACATCCAAATGTAAAGTGCCTACAACAACGTTAAATGCGACCAAGCGTTGAAAATCTCATTCGCTTTACTCGTAACAACGCGTCGGTGGCACAGCGATAGAATGCTCGCTAACCATGCATGTATTCCGCGGTTCAATCTCCGGACGATGCACTCCTGAAACTCCCTGGGCCAGTAATAAGACTGGTGAGGAGGGAAGGTTGGGCATGAGGCTACCAACTCTATTCCGCAAAAATAAACACCACTGCTACAGAAACTTTAAGTCTCTAGCTTGAAGCCCTACGTTCCACTGGGAACGTAAAGGAATAAAAAACAAACAAATACCAACAACAAAACCTATTACACATTTAAAACTTCAAACTAACGATTATTTTTATTCATGTTCAAAAGGCTTTCACTTAAGTTAATCCATTTGTGCGACAGCAGTAATGTATGATACAGGCCAGAGTCTCTGAAGAGTTATCGATCCCCTCAAATCACAGATATGCCTTGCTGCCAATGAGCGCCAAACTTAAGGTAAAAGCTCCCTACCGGGTTGACTTCAACCACTGAACACTAAACATACTGCATAAGAACTTCTGTTTCTCATTCTTTCCCTTGATTAGTCATTGTTATTATTATTATTAAGCTAACGGAAACTTCTTTAGTTAAATTAACTAAACTTTTAAAATTGTAATTAAATTAAACCATCCAGTAATTTATACCAATAAGATGATGAATAATGTTTTCTGAAACATTTAATCTATACAGTTTTTAGATAAGTTTTAATTTAAAAAGTTTAACTAAGTTAAGATTATATTTATGCATTTTCAAAAATACGAAAACAAAAAAAAATAAACAACGCATAATTTGAATTTCCAAATAATTCACATGAAAGATACAAATATACTGAGAGAAGAAGAATTTATGGGATAAAGTTTTCCTACTGAGTTTTCTTTAACTTAATAATTTATTTAAAAGGAAATCTAACTAGTCTTGAAGCATTACTGGCATCGACTGTAATTTTTGAGTCATTAAAACGTGACATATAAAGAAGAAATCTTTATCGCATTGCAGTTTTGATTACAGATGTTAGAAATTATTACCTACAGAATAAGAGATGGTCTAGCATCGGAGTAAAACATTCGTTTGAATGAACAGATGGCAGATTCAATTCTCAGAAGAGTTATTATTGCTCTTTAAAAAAGAACATATACTACATTAGCCACTCTCAAACGGAAGAAGTCAGAATTCATGAGCCGTGGTGGTTGAATGTTACTGCAATTGGCGCGCAGTCTGAAAATTGTGGATTTGATCCTCTATAAAGTCATGGTTGCCTACTGCTGGTGATTCCTAAGTCTGCATAAGAAGGCTGCTATAATGTCCTCTGGTTTCCAATGGTTTCCTAAGTGATATTGGTTAGCTTTGAAAGTGAATTCCATGTTTATCGACTAGCAGGAGAAAATATGTAAAGCTTGTATAACTTCATCCATATACTTCATATCACTAAAAGACAGAAGAACTAACAGAATCAAACTAAAACAGTGTTATTAGAAAGGACAAGTTGTGTGGTGGAATTAAACACTGAGTGAGTCATTCATACCAGAAATTTACAAAGTATAAAAAGTTTAGATGAAGGAATTGCCTCACCACAGAATTCTTTTGCCTGCCTTGTGAACTCACCTTAGGGAGTTAAAAACTAACGTACATTAAATGACTTTACTGGTTGATAGCACGACTTCTTATAAAAACCGTAGGTTTCTTTTCTCGTTTACTGGTTAATTTTACAACAGTGTTTTTGATCTGAGCAGTGATACTTGTCATTATCACTTAAATGAAAATCTACAGCATTACTAGCTTCCTCCATTATCCCAAAGCGAATAATAATCATATTAATATGTCGAAATTACAAATGTATTATGTCAACTAAAAGGGATAATAAATTTCTCATGTCTTTGTCTTTTAGAATAGCTGATGATCTTGACTTATACATACTACGTTATAACAAATTCGGACGTGAATTCCCTAAGACAGTTAACATGAGTCCAGACTCATTTATTCAATTAGCTTTACAATTAGCACATTTCAAGTAAGTTTCCAACTTTGCATAACCCTTGTTTCTATATTTCGAAAAATGTTTTTGAAAAGTAATTTACTATGCTAAAAAGAATACTTTTTTGTCAGATTCAATTACCCAAAACAAAAATACTGTTCTTTTGCATCAAATAAAAATAATATTTTAAGTGGGATAAAATATCTGTTCAGCTGTATCTCTTTCAACATATGACGAGGAGACTAATCTTTACTCTTTCCAGAGAACTGGTTCTCAGTTGTTAATATTTATAAAGAAATATAGCACCTGTTTTTATTTGGCTTATAGTGGCCAACAGTGAAATCTAGGAAGCACTTTTCATTCCTATTTCAAACTTGTCAGCTGGATGTTCCTACATTCATGTTCCCTTGAGACTCGAACCTAACGCAAACATCCTTATAAACACTAAAACAGTATGCACTAGGCTACTGACCTCCTTCTTTTTCGCGGCTGGTATCAACTGTTATTTATTGAGTGTTTCTGAATTCCTCTAGTGTACAAGAGGTACATGTCATGTATCAGTAGACTAGTGGATAACATCCCAGTGTTTTAAAGAATGTGTGCCACATGCGAGTTTCAACTGGAATAATGACTAAGAGAGAGGAGGATACTTGCGTCATGAAGTCCACTCTTAACCACCATCAAACAAATTATGTTTTATTAGTTACAAAAACTTACATATTATCATAGATAATTATAAGTTTATCAGTCAGTGAGAAACGTTATGTACTTATTTATGATACCGAACCATATCATGAATACATTATGAACTGATTGAATTTGGAAAGTATGAATGAGTATACTCCACTTCAAAAAATAAAAAAATTATCGGGAACATAATCTCCAGTCTAGCAGTGATAATTAACGCTTCAAAGAGGTCGTATGTTAAAAAACAGACCCTTATATAGAATCCGAGTGGATGTCGGATTTTCTAACACAAATTGAGTCGAGAAGTAATCAGACTGTTAGAAATGTTTGGCGCAGATACATTTCATTTTTCAGGTAAACACCATCTTTTAGTAGTAATTCTGTTCAAATTTATTACAGGCGCCAACTGTTTTGAATACAAAATATCACCAAACGCTTGAGTGAGGTAATTAAAGTAGGCAAATAAATAGACGTTTTAGGGAGAATTAATATGAACTAATTAGGATTTTTTGACTTTCGTAATAATTAGTCAACGCTCCAGTCAAAGTATATTAATGTAACAGTTTTCAACCTAAAATAACAATATGAAGTGTAATCAAGTTCAAGGTTACAGCGGCGAAAAGAAGAATAATGATCTGTTAGAACTTTATCGCAAGGATATAATGAGCAAAAATAATGATGAGAATAACTCTTTCCGTCATGGAGAATCAAAGATTTCTGCTCCCTTCCCCCCAACCAATTCCACCTACCCTTTCTCATTTATGCTAATGAATTAACTAGCCAACTCTTAGTACATATACAAAAAAGACTTGATTACAGTCAACATAAAAGTGTTTATACATAAAGCTCATAAAATAATCGGAGCTGCGTAAATTTGAAGAAGTGAATCACTTTCGTGAAACAATACACAGCCTGTGAAAACAGACTTATAATCATTTAATAAAGTGTGAATGTGACAACTTACCAGTCTGACGCATTATTCCATAGAATGTAGCACACAATCTTCTGGCTTCCACAACAATAAGAAAACCATTACACAATGATAAATTTTACACATCTTAAAAGTATGAATTAATCTACTATTTCTCTGAATAATTTAATCTTCTTTTCTTCAAACTTTAGGCTGCATAATTATCTGGTTCCAACTTACGAAAGTGCTTCAACAAGGCGATTCGCTTTAGCTCGTGTTGACAATATTAGAGCGTGTTCAACTCCAGCTCTGGAATGGTGTAAAGCAATGACAGGTCAAACAAAATGTTCAGTGAGTAAATCTTATTTCGAAGTAGATTGCATCGAGAAATGAACATTCATTTTTTGAAAACCATGGAATACTAGACAACTGTTTCATGCTGATGTAAGACTCCAGCAGTATGCAGTACCATTAGAGATCGCAACTATGACCGCCGGGTTTCCACACAAGCACTCTGACCACTGATTCAATGAGCTGGAATCTAATCGCCTGCGAATTATAATTTCTTCCAGTTCGTTGGTTTTCAATGGATCTTTAGGTGATGTTGGTTTGGGATAAAATCTATCTTAAAACCAATTAGACCCTTACAAACACTTGTAAATTCAACTTATTCTCTCAGTTAACTGTGTGGATAATTAGAAGTTGAAACTGACATGCGACAATATTGAAAACTCGTCAAAAGAATGCAAGTAATGAGAATATTGAGTAACTGAGTAAAATCAATCCTAGTCAACAACAAATTTTTCCTGATATATCATAACAGTCTAAATACCAAACAGTTAGTTCGTATTAATGGCGTCATTCGTGTACTAAAATGCATTCATTGAATTGAATTTTTGATTTTCCCGTCGATTGATTGGACCGAAGTGCTCAGTCTCAGGTTGACATGTCGGCTTCTTGTGCAGATGCTTCGACGATGTCTGGGCATTTAATTAGCATACAATTGGTGGATGGTGGCTAGCAGTGGACCCGTTGCACAAGAGGTGGCTCTCGTGGCCCAAGTGGTCTAGTGGATAACGCTTTGGCGTTTGAAACTATGGGTACCGGGTTCGAGCTTCGGTGGGAACGTCATCACTCACTGAGAAATACAGGTACATCCAGCTGACGAGTCCCAAATAGGACGAAATGCGCATCCTGGATTCCACTGCTAGCCACCATCCACCAATTGTATACTAAAATGCATTCAGTTCAGTCTATCAGTTGAAGTTAATAAACTCAACACACCAAACGAATAAAAACCACCAAACAGATTTCTGGGGACTATAGAAGTATGCCAGATTGAAAGAACTTTTACGTAAACAAGAAAAAGTGTGGGTGTCGGATGACAAACAAGAGGATAAAATGTAACTGACTGTACTATAAGGGATTAACACAGGTTACCTGGTATTTCAATGCGTCGGTGGCATAGCGGGGTTCGATCCCAGGCCAGCGCACTCCCTTACCTCACTCAGTCAGAAGTAAAGCTGGTGAAGAGGAAAGGTTGGGCATGAGGCTAGCAACCCCATCCTGTAAAAATAAACACCACTGCTACAAAAACTTCAAGCCTCCAGCATGAAGCCCTACGTCACACTGGGCACGTGAAGGAAAAAACCCTGGTATTTCACAGTAGACAATGCCACGTCACCAGCAGTTGTTTCCACTACGAAACTGATACTTAATATTGTAAGTCTATCAAAATTTATCAATAGAATTCAATCAGCTCCAACACTAAGAATTCGACACATGACGTTATTCAATCTCTAGTGACTAGTTAAGGTGTCGATTAGAATCCTGCCAGCAGTCCATAGTGAAACCGAAAAACTCACTGGTAACGTCTTTGACTTCAGTCTTTAGGTATGCCTTGGCGCAGAACTCACTGGAAATTCCCTAAACCACCTAGAGTCAAGACTGTTATTCACTACCCCGACAGGTAGTAATAAATCTTGGAAATATTACAATTTCGAATTAAAGTCCTGTAAAAAAAACACAATTGGCTTATAAACGTCTAACATTGAGTAAATAACCTGATAAATGCTTTCATATTCTCGGAAACATTATCTATCAACATTTGTTAAATTTGTGGGAGCATTAAACATTAAACATGATAGGCATCGATTACCATTTCCAAATCTTAAAAGATGATACTCTGATTTTGTCAATTACAGTCGTTATAAGGTATTACAATTTACCGTATTTAAAATCAAAATATGAGTTCATTATTGTACTTAAGAAGCACTGTCTACTTTGACAGAAATACGAATGTGAAGTGAGGCCTGCATAGTCCCAGAACTCAGGCTGTGATGTATAGGTGCTATTATAAGTTACCACTTGAGACTTCATATACTTCTGGAGTAAACCAACTCCATTTCGGCATGTGAGCTTCCAGAAACTATGCAACAACAGTATGTCGTGATTTCCAACTTTGTGTTACTTATTTTGGTAGCAGTTGGAGATGGAATACAGGACACGATTTTTTCTAGGCTAGGAGTTCACCAGTTGAGTATACCACCTTTCAGTAAGTGATAGTGTTCCTAGTCCCTTTAGAAGAACGATATGCCCAGTTTAAAACCAATCAATGTAATAAGGAAATACAAGCGGGAATCTACAAATATTAAAAAAATTAAGTCATACCTACTTCATAAGAAGTCCAGTGGATAAATGACACATTTGATGATGAATGCCGCGTTGAAGTTTCGGATGGAATAAAATTACTAATTGAGACACAGACATATCTACCTAAAGATAATGAGGTGTCACTCACTACAAACGCTAAAAGAAGCAGCATAATATATATGAATGCTCTCAAACTGAAACTGTGATAATTAAAACTAGTTAGTAAAATTTAAACTATCTGCACAATGTATTCAAAATTCAGTGAACTATGCTATTTTGTAATCCCTTTTCCTTCTCTGAATTCAATCTGGATTAAGACGTCTGGCTGCGCCTTAATGATAACAATAATCAGAAGAAAATTATCTGTCACTGATTCACTTAAAAGAGGACTGAGACATTTGATGATTTCAATGGTATTAATACATGGTCTCTGCCTGATTGTCATCAAATAGAATGACAGTTTCGCCATCGCAAGAACTATAAATTCAAACACAATATCTCATTTTAGCTTCATCAATCACACAATTGTCAGCTTTGTGTGAATAACAAATCTGTAACCCACGCAGAACAGATAACAAGATGAAAAATGAAACCGTGTTTCGATGTTTTCTTTCCAAATTGTAGATTGCAGTATGTATATTTCTTCTTTTTGTTTGTTTAGAATGATGATAGAATTCGCCTGTTGCGTAAAGCAATGGAATGGCAAACTGAAATTATGCTTGAAACTATCCTAGGTCATGGAGTGGACAACCACTTATTGGGTCTACGACAGATAGCTTTAGCTCACGGAAGACAATTGCCAAATATTTTCAAAGATCCGAGTTACATGGAATCGAATAGATTTCGTTTATCTACAAGTCAAGTAAGTCTTTGATTGTTGAAAGATTCTCTTTTATTTGAATTGCGTAGTTATAGTGTAGTGCGCGATGATGACTACAGCTGAAAGAAAACTTTGATGATAAAAGAAGTCAAACTAACCGTCCAGCAGCTAATTGCCTGAATCTTTATGCATATAGCTAAAATAAATTTACCGCAATTATTTCCTCACCTGTCAAGTCTTGAAACTTTTGCTTGATTAGGAAGGCGGACGCTATTGGTTCGAATTCTCGGATAACTTGGGATTCCTTTCAAATTTAATGACTACTCTTTCAGATAGAAAAATTTGCAATTATATCACAGAAAGGAAAACATCTAGTCTGGTAATAGTTCTATCTGACAATTAGTAACTCGGTGGCATAATACTTGTCAGCCACACAGGTGTTCCGGACTTAATTTTCAGCCCATGCACTCTTAAACCTTGCTTATTTCATTAGGCAACAGTTACTCCGGTAAAAGTCGAGAGAATGAATGTGAATCTAGTAACACCCTGCCCCTGGATACAACACTACGGCTACTGGAACTTTAAAGCATGGAGAATCCTTTCTTTAAAAGCTTTTTGAAAGACTAAAATAAGAGTATAACAAAACTATTGTCCTGATAGGTATTAATTACTTCAATAATATATACATATATACTGTTTGCTGAAATATCTTGGTGTTTTCTGAGATCCATAATGAAACATCAATTGTACATATCTCAACTCTTAAACACACAAAATCGAATGGAATGAAAATAAGCATTCTGCTAATTTACACTTAAAGCACAGTGAATAAAACAGAAGTAATAATTAGTTAAGAGACAAATGACAAACCTGATTGTTTGAATTCTACTCTCAGGATTTAACAATCCTTCAGTCATTTGAGAAACAGAAATTTAAAAAAGTTTTATTATAACGCATAAATTATACCCAACAATATGAAATTAAATCAACTCTGAAGGAAACGAACAAACTTAAAATAGCATCAAGACAAACTGAACACAAAGTTTTAACGAAACCATTAAGCCACTAGGACCCGATTCAGTGTTCCATGAATTCTAACTTCTACCAATTCGTGATGCATTTAGCGCGATCACCAACCAATGTCTTCGGTGGAAAATCCATTCTCACAATTCACTGGTTCGACCTCCCTGGTCACTACTTCTCACGAGAACTTCAGGAAACTCCATCCTGTAGCATGTCATCAGTGAGCATCAGATTAATTTATATTTGTAAAATCTCAGTGAAATTGAAATTAGTAATTCCAACGTTTCGTTCGGCAAATTGGTCCGAACTTATTCATGGAAATTAATCGAAATTAATATAACAGAGGTTTATACATAAAAAGGACATCTCTTGTTTCTAAAATCTTTGTCCAGTTAAATGAGTCATGAAAAAGGTATCAACATGTATCGTAAACAAAACTGTGTGAGCTGTGATCGAAAATTTGACTTCTGACTTTCAAATACTAGTCTACTTTTGTTAAACATTTTAAACAGAGCGTACTTTTTATCAGATTTCGTTCGACTAAAAGTTTACGGTCGTAAATAACTGATTATGAAAATAAATGTCTATATGCAGTATACAACGGTGTGTGTGTGTGTGTAGGTGTGTGTGCATAAACAGTTGTAATACATTTGTTAGCCTCTCCATAAGAAGATATAGACAATCAGGAATTTGGGCCAAGTATCATTATTTAGTGATACATAACCATTTTATATTCATTAATCAGGATTTGCCATGCATCAGCCAACATCACAGCTTCACGTCTCTTCAAACTGTTGGCATTCACTCATATATGTAGGGCTTCTGCAGTCAGTCTTTCTTTACATCAACCAAAACCTTTCTGTAGAACCCTAGTCCTATCAAAGTCGATTTTCTGTCCCGTTTCTATCGAATACACTGCAATCGCTGATCTGTTTTCTGGCTTCTTTAAGTTTGCAGAGGTCTCTGGAACCACCTTTAGACATTGTGTATTCCCTTTCACTCTTATATGTACATGTATGGGAGTTTCTTCCTACATATACGGAATCACAGTCCCCACAACTGATCTGGTACACACACTTCTGTTTGTCTCCTTCTTCTGTTTTATCTTTCACCCTCACCAGTGATACGCGTAAGGTGTTGTCCTTGTTCGGATCAATTTGCCGAACGAAACATTAGAATTACTAATTTCAATTTCACTGAGATTTTACAAATGTAATTTTTACAAACGTCTATTAATTATATGTTTTATAAAGTTTTAAACCCTCGCTTTCCGAGCGGAACATAGTGCTTCAAGCTTCAGTCTAGAAGTTTCTATAGCAATAGTGTCCATTTCCCTCTTTACCGGGCTTATAACCGCCTAAGTGAGGTCGGCCTGAGATCGAACCCTAGGCCATATGAGTGGCTGATAAGCACTCTACAGCTGAACCATCAACTGACATCAATTATAAGTACAGAAAATGAATTCCTTGAAATGATAGATAGGCACTACACCTTTCTTAAGGAATGACAACAACAGAAAGGTAGACAGCTGTGTAGATATAAATTCTATTAGATAGAGATGTTTGTAGTTTAATCGACGGTAATTATTCTTAAAGTGAATAAAGTAATCTGAAATCTGGACAGTCAATTCTCCTACCAGATATACATCACTATTACTGGGAATTAACTAGACACCTCACTTAATTTGATCATGAGTCGTTGAAACTGAGAGAAATGACTTTCGTCATGAAACTTAATCATTTAGTATGCACAAATTTGTCACACGATGTTGATGAATGAAGTCCTATTAGACCAATCACAACACTACAATTAGATTAAGTGAAATAACACTGTAAGATATAAGATGATACAATTTGATTTCTTAATAAATGTTAGAAGACAGTAGTTTTAAACACAACTCTTTTTATAAAACACAACATAATCGAGCAAAGAATATTCTTTTCAATAAATTCCTCTTCTGGCTCTACAATTATATACATGTTTATATACACAGAATATTCAAGGTTGGTAGTTAATAACAATATTAGTGTTTTTTAAATAATATCGATTTGTAAAGCAAGATCAATGCAATTACAGTTCACTAAAAATACTTAAATTATAATAGTAATAAAGATATAATAGCGAGTAGGATATCAACTAAAATTAGGAAATTTTCACGAAAATTGAGAATCATTCAAACCTAGATGGCCAAGGTAGGGACAGCGTCTGAACTGACTTCTTTTGGACGCACAAATTAGGCTTTTTAATGTGGATCCCAACAGCCTCAGCAATATTTAGTAATCGAACTCTTAAGGCTAAGTTGAGATTTGTTGGTATCCGATAAATAACTCTGAAAGCTTGATTAACATCAATCCTATGTTCTGTATCCACCAGATGAGCCAAAATAGCGCTACGGATAGATTTTGTTTGGCCTTTGCTTAACCACGCAGGGTGATGTTCGGAAATTCGACGAGAAACACGCCTAATTGTGCGGCCTATGTAACTGGCTCCACAGGAGCAATTAAATTGGTAGATACACATGGATGAGGCGAAATTAGGCAGTTTGTCTTTTACTCCCGAACGCAGAAGAGAAGTAGTCTTAAAGATACAACGTAATTCAGCAGCAGGGAATGCTCGTTTTACCGCGTTTCTAATACGCTGTGTTAGTATCTCGCTAGTGTTGTCCTCAAGGAACTCTTTTTGTTTTGATTTCTTGTGCTTTTTAAAACTCCTTAGTGAAGTGTCTTTAAGAGGAATTCGTACCTTCTCTCGAACTAAAATGTCTCACCTAACGACATATTTTTAAACTTCACCAATACCTCTACACCCAGTGAAAAGTTTGTCTATTTGACCCACTCCTACAAGAGATGCGTTTTTGATCTGAAAACTGATTGATATACGTCAACGTTGCAAAGGGAAATATTAATTTCTTTTATTCAGCAGATTCACATAACTGATCAGCCGGAAGAAACTCGAGACCATATAACTAAACTTTGAAATTTAAGACAACGCTGTTCATCAGACCATTATTTGGTTTTTTTCATGATTTCAAATCGCTATTGACCTAAAACAAGGAGGGAACTGTTCGGGCTATAATTCTAAATTACTGAAAGAACAATTTCATACAAAGGGTGAAAAAAAGATTACTTTTAAGCAATCACGGCTTTTTAAGTCATTAACTCAAAATATATATAAACATAAGATATACGGATAGTCACTGTGCTTATTTTAACCGATGTAATTTCGAGAAAAAGTTTGGAATTAGTCTACAGGGGTTCTGTGCATTCTGTTGAAGTAACAATTTTTCCCAGGAAGTCAACTGGCGAACCTCATAATTTCTCAGAGTAAATTTTTAGCAAATGAAAATCATAAAAAATAGACAGTTTCTTCCATATGTCTTAATCAGGTCTATTTCTGATGGCCACATAAATGATGATGCGTCGGTGGTACAGCGGGTTCGATCCACGGCCAACGTACTCCTGAAACTTGCTAAGCCAGGAATAAGATGAGCCTGTAGCTTGAAGTCCTATGTTCCACTAGGAACATAAAGGAATAAAATTGAATGAATTAGGTTACACAAATGGTGCCTTTCCTGTATGTGTGTGTGTGTGTGGCTCAAATCAGTGACTGTTTATTTTTCTTAAATTTAACAGTCTTCTAGCTTATGACTATTAATTCATATCTGTCATTTAATTGTTATGCTAGTTCTTTGTTGGTTTATCCTTACTCATTAATTTTACTTATTAAGGTCTTTTTTAAAATGACCATAATTTTCCACTTTGGACCCGATTTGCTAGATAATATTTTGACATGTGCCGATATCCTTAGATGTCTTTCTTCTGTTGGATTAGTTCTATATTTGTTGGAAGATGTCTAGTCTCCTAGTTGCAAACCTGAACTTTATTGACGTATTGAATAATTACAGTGTACACTGCTTCACAAAACAACACCAGTTAGAGGGTCATCAAAGACCAGTGAGCCATGGACAACGGAAACTTTGTGCACAAAAACGTCAAACTATCAGACCAGACACTTCTGAGTCAGTAAAAATTCAATGGAAGCACGTGGTTTTCAGAAATTATGCAAATTTTCCTGAAAAATATAAAATATCTTTTTATTACTGCATTAATAACCATTGTCTTGGAAAAATTAAAAATCTATAAAGAATCTAAACTCGAATTGTTCGTGTTAAGTGATCAGGCACGAATTAACTGCATGCCTCTTCACATTACCTTTTCAGTCATTACGTCAGAGAAAAGGAAAAATAATGATAATAAGCAATTACGAATTCATGGAAATGCATTCATTATTATTTTTTTTTCTCGCGACCTTTTCCAATAGAAAATTATTTAAATGAATAATAGTTATCCACTTCTGTGAGAAGATAAGAAAGAATAGAGTAATTAATTTATATTTCTTGAAACTATTGACAATTCTGTGTGATTTAAACTAGGAATACACACACACACATCTTCATGAGGTGATTAGTAAACACTTGAACAATATATATATATATATATATATAATTGTCCATACGTGCGTATACAAAGAGACTTCTTCAGTTCATGCATGCATGAACTGAAAATGAAGTGAAAAATATAACAGTTTAAGGGATGAAAAAGAATGAGAAGATTTCCCAAACGTTTGAATCACATTTCGACAAGTTTTCAACTAAAATAAAAAGAGGGATAGTATTCTTTCAAACTGTTACAACAAATTCTATGGGATGAATGTTTTTAATCGTCAAGTCTGCTTTGTCATTCTGAGTTACATTACTAAGAATAATAAAATAAATGATTATGTAAACAGATGTAATACAACAGAAATAAACTCTTTCAACTGCTAATATTCCTTCTCGTCATATCAAAATTGTAATTCCTAGGCGCCATAACAGATGGGAAAAAAATGACCAGATAGCAAATATAGAATAGCCTTAAAAATAACAGAAAACTATTGTTCTAGTGGAAAGTCGTGACCAGTAGGGTGCAGCGGGTCGAGTGTGAGGACAAATACTCGCCTAAGGCATTGGCTGTCGGCCGGGCTATGTCGTGAATTGGCAGAAGTTGGGATTCATGGGCGATTGGATCGGGTCTCAGTGGCTCAATGGTCTGCGAGCTCACTCGACTTGTAACCAGAAGGTCTTGGGTTTGAACTCCGGTGGGTGAGTACTGATGAATGGTTCCAAACTAGGGCGAAATAGCTATCCAGTACTCCCAGGTTTTCCAATGGTTCTATAACCGAAGTCAGCTCGTGATGAAATCCTGTAACCAATCATGAAATCCTTGCCAATACAATCAGACTATTGGAGGTGAAATACTGTACATTTTTTTTAACTAAAGGTTAAAGTATATGTATGGGCAGTACAGAAAAGAAGAGCTATTAAAGACAGAAAAACATAAGCAGAAAATTCGGTTATTTTACTTATGTAATATTATTCTGTGCTGAGATTTTTAATCTCTGACTTGATTTAATGTGTCATTCCTTGTTGCAGTTTACTTCCTTACACCTTTTTGTATCTTAAATGTTTACTTTGTTTGCGTCAAATTAACTAGCTTGCCAGACGAAGCACCAGAGATACAGCGCAAATTTTATCAATCAGCGCCGTACAGCCCTTTAATTCTTAATCGATTGTGTCAAGTTGCTTTCCTTAGTTAGATATAATATCATATTTACTGGCTATTTGAATATGACTACGTTGAATCTGCTAACAATTCATTCTTTTCTAGTAATCATTTCTTTCCAATGAAATGTGTTCTACCCGAATACCCAAAAAGTGTATAGTCATGTTCTGATCGAACGAGGTTATTTCAGTTAACAAATAAACGTAGCACTCACATTTTAAAGGACAACATGTCAGACTATGGCCAGTATGTATTTGAATATTATACTATTTATAGATAGATGAGATGTGTCTCTTAACTGTAAATATCACCACAAAAGCTAAGTGGAAATATATGTTTTAAAAATATCTCACCAAAAAGAACTAGTATGCATTTTGATTGGATTCCTTAGAGTGTACATATGTCTCCCAAGTTTTCCTTTCGATTCTTTTGAAGAAGTATCTTAATTAGAAGAAAATAATGAATCATAATTCAAAATCTTAGTTTAACGCCTACTTTGAAAACTTTAGAAATAAAGTTTAACTGGAATTAAGGACTTCGACGGACTAATTGCCTGTTGTTATCCCACGACTGATTTGTGGATTACCCAATCTTGCTGATATTTATTGTTTTAAACTTTGCCTCTAGGCTGTTACACTATTACAGGAATTTCAGTTTTACAAACTCCACTTATCTCTAGTAGTTTCACCTACAAACCAATCAAACTGTTGTGACGCTACAAAATTGAAGGTAAATATTTCTTACAGTGGAGTTAGCTACTTATAAGTAGCTAAACAATATGTCAGAAATAATAGTGAATGTAATCCACAAACTATACTTGAATTTAATCAGAAGAAACAGATCATACAACTTGCTACATAACTGTGAGCTGTATCTCTGTATGGTTAATTGAAGGTCTCATAACCAGAACTGATCAATTCAAATATTTCATAAATAGAAAGTTCAATGAATAGGACTTAACTTATTAACCACCTAAGTGACAAGCGTAAAGTTAAACTAGGTGATATTATATACCCCCCCCCCCTTGAAGATATAAGTATAAAGCTTGGACACTGTGGTATAGTATAACTCGATTATGGATAAGATTTTATTTTGATAAATCATGCAGTGCTATACAGTAATATTAACTGATGACGTCTTGAGCACAAATTATTGCTCATAATCATATCAAGTCATATCATCTCAAAACTTGGAATGATTATGAGCGATAATTTGTGCTCGAAACGTCATCAGTAAATATTACTGCACAACACTGTGTGATTCATCAAAATAAAACCCTTGAAGATAGTCTAGTCACTGTTGTTGCACTATTCATCTTATTATATGTGACTTTTTCATGAAGTACAGAGAGTAAGACTAGTCATCCTAAAACAGCTAGTTCGAATTCTATTGACACTTACATTGCCGTATCATTTTTAATAGCCATCCATTACAACATCAGTATCCGCTTACCAATTTAGGACTGTCACAGACAGTTCCTATCCACATTCACACATATTTTTTACCCAGTAATCTGACTGTTTACATGAATGACTCACCATTGCAAAATAGAAGACTCAACACTTGAGACAAATAAACCACCCAGCTCAAAGAACACAAGTACACCAAAATTATTCCTTTTTTGTTAAATTAGGATAACCTGCCTTAATCTGTTTCATTATTTTTAAGAATAATGGTTTAACCTGGACTTCAGTAACTGCGTGAAACAATCAGAATGATGAATATATAAGCAAACCTTCTAATCAGATTGTGCGAGTCATAAACTTGTTAAAATTAATGTTTTTTATTCCCGAAAGTAATCAGTAAATAAATTTAAAGTTATTACTGACTAAATCTTTATTGTTTTATTCCTTTCATTTCAACTGCCTTTTCAACTTTAGGTACCTACAACAATGGATGCATTTATGTGTTATGGAGCTGTTGTACCTAACGGATACGGAGCAGCATATAATCCACACCCTGACAATATAGTTGTTAGTATCTCGTGTTGGCGTACAAATCCAGATAATAATGCTGTTAAGTTTGCTGAAATGCTTGATTCAGCATTTACTGAAATGCGTGATTTAGTCCTCTCCAATCCTACATTGTCTAAAGAACCGTCAAATGAACCAGTCGAATGGAGTATAGCTAAATCACTTGGCGCTGAAGTTGGTCTGAATGTTACTGGTTAATTATTATTATTTATTATTATCTTCATTATTAAATAACTATTGTTAACTCTTGAAGAGAATTATTTTACACAAAATTCAAATAACATATTTTTAGCGCCATCAGATTTCTTTTTTTCACTCATTGAAACAAGAATATTTATTTTGATTTCTCTTATCCTCCTGTGAGCTTTGTTTATCATATTTTCTCCAATAGCTTATCTACAAAACAGTTATCTCGAAAACAAGTTAACCAGATTTATTTATAAATATTACTGAAACAAGTTTTCCTTTATTTCTTTTAGTTTTGTGATAAAAAGATACTACTTACTGATCTAAAGGCTATTTTCTTGCTCTTTACTCATTTGATGATACATAGAGAGAAATTTGATGAAAATTGAAGATAATAATAATACCCTCACTTATGTACACTGTCATATAACAGTTTAATCAAACCTATGCTGAATAATACAGAAATCTATAATAATACGGATTTCATACAAAAAATCTCCTTATAACTACAGATGAATTAGGTTAAGAAAAGTCATTAGTAACATTTTATTTTATACTAAATTATTACTAACACCTTATATATATATATATATTTATATATTTATATATATATATATATACTCATTTCTGTCATTTTTATATACTTCAGTGTGTTAAAACCTTTGTTTATATTAATTGTTATATACATATATTTATACTGAATATATTTATATTTGAAATTTAAACTGTATCTGCTATAAAAGAGATTTTAAACAATCTCGACGACTCCTTCAAACGTGTATACCCCTCAGGTTGTGAAATGTACAAATCATATTCATATAATTATATCTATTATAACTAACTAGTAATCGCTTATTAAAGATAAAAACAAAACGAAGGTGTTCAATCTGTTATGAATTCAGTGTTTAACAATACAGTGAACATTGAGCACAACAAAATTCACTAAACACCTTGGATTTGTTATCATTGACAAAATACACTTTTTACTATTTCTAATTAATTTATCGAAAAATTCGTTTATGTAATTAGATTAGTAGAATAAAAAGTTTGTATATCCTTCATTCCTCTTATTACAGCTATTACTGTTATTATTACTATTAATATTATTATCAACATTACTATTATTGTTATTATTGTCGCTATCATAATCATCATTATTAAAATACATTACGTTTGCATGTATACACATAAACTATATGCATGCATTCAAATAAAATTCACATTTTATCTACTTCAAGTATACTTTTGATTAATTTTTTACTTTGACGTCAATTATCTATTCAGTATAACCTTGGCTAGGGAAAGCAGAATGATCAGAAATAAAACTACACAACCAGCCGAATTCTGTTATTCCAGTTGCATTTAAGAGTTTTACACACTAGTGACAATGGATATTGGTTGTTGTATATTATTACTGTATATGAAATTTTAATTCAAAGGTGACCTAGCCTCCGATATTCTTGAAACTATAGCAGAATTCGTGAAAACGATATTTCTTGCGGTGTCATTGAGAGTAGTGTTCTCCAGTCTGCCATTTTATTCAGATAACCTGAAGGATAAGATCTTGCAACTGACTAGCTCTGTGTATATATACCAGTTCACCTAGCTGCTATAGAGCTAGGTACATCGGGTATTCGATGCAGATTTTGTATTAAACAAAAAGTACAAGATTAGCTTGTGTGGTTACGGAGATGTGGAAGCACAATAATTATTTAACCAGTAGCCAAAAGGCAATACGTGGATAGCGAAATCTGAATATACTCGGCTTCGCTAAACTCAACATTATTGATGTTTATTTTCTAAGAGTCCTAAGGTAGACACAGAAAAACAGCTAGCTAGTACTTCTCGGAAACTAGTTGTTTTTATAACGATACTGGTGATCGATATTAAAAACACAATCCGATATCTATCAGTTTTTTACATCAAGAATCTGAAGCGGAATTAGTTAAGTTGTAAACTGCTAAATAAAAGATAAGTGTCCAATGAGCAACAGACAGAAATTTCCTTGAAGCAGATAACCGCCTTTCAGTTTACTTCGACTTTGTTCGATGTAAAAGTTAATGAATATTGTGAAATATTTCACAGATAGTTTACATCATGAATTAATTTACCTACCTAAGCAATTCGTAGTCCAACTGCCTAGTAAGTTAAATCCCTAAAACAAAAACATGCATTTATTTTCTGTATTGTAGCACAATCATATAAATTGATCAATAAGTGTAGTCCCCTGAGGTTTAGTCACTAACTAGTGGAATAGACATTCATCAGTTATATAGGTAGAAAACTGATTTGTCCGTTGAAGCAGTCGACTGTCACATCTAAACAGTAGGAGAAATCAATTCAGCAACTCATTGATGCGAATAAATATTTATATAGGCCAACAGAAGAAGCAGGTGGTTTCCCAATATATCTCTGAATGGTAGTCAGCAAGACAGCACACTCGGCTCACCTGTAGTACATGTAATTGATTCAAGTTACAAAACTTCATAAGAATCCTACAAAAATTAAGCCTAATTGTGCGAAGGGATTATTATTCCCTTTGACAGCACATCTCTATTCCCTTTTATTCACTGCAGTCCATTTTAGCTAGCCCATAAGCTCTAATCTCCTCCTCAAACAGTTTCCTCCATGTCACCCTTGGACAGCTAACTCGTCTTTTCCAATTCAGATTCCCCTCAAGGACCTGGTCAGTGATGTCACACAGCGGTCTCCCTAGTATGTTTCCAACCCATCTGCATTTCTTTCGGCATGTTTCTTGGTTAGTTGGCCGACAGAGCTCCTTGTTGCTTATCTTTAGTGGACAGCCATTTGATCTTCAGTATAGAGCTTAGACAGCTCTAGATACAAGTCTACAGCCTGGGAATGCTCCAACTCTCAAAAGTATATAGAAGAATTGACTTGACATTACTGCTGAAAACCAGAATCTTATTCCTTATGATTATTGCAGTAGATTTCCACACTGGTTTCTGAGTAATGAAGGTCCATCTTCCTTTCTTGGTCCTAGCTGGCCTTGTTATCCTCATCTGTGCCACCTGTTCATTAGTTATCTTTATCACCTCTGTCTTCTCTACATTCACCTGAAATCCTATCTTTGCTGCCTCTTCTGCCAGCCTACTGCTTTTCCGTCTTTAGATTTTGAGTTTAGGTGATATTGAACAGAAATTATCCTGGAAGTTCAGATCTTCTAGAGTCTTCTTGTCGGTCCAACGTGTACATGTCTTCCCAATCTTCACGGTATGATGCATTATCCAGTCACCAAAATCAGGAATATCATGAATGATAGTAGGCAACGTTGTCTTCTTTGAACACAGATAGAGCAATCATTTGTGCAGAATAATACGGATCCATTCTATTTCATCGGTACTCGTCAGCTGAGTACAACCCAATTTGTTTATCATCCTATAAGGATTATCGTAAGAAAGTTACAGTGAAACAAAACGAAGCATGAGAAAGTGATCTAAAATTATATATATATATTGGCCAAGTTGGACTCTAAGCACCACTAACTGCCAGTGGAGTGCGACCACACCAATGACCTTGAGTCGCGCACTGAGCAGGTTAGTGAAACCAGGCAAATAATGTTGTCATCATCAACAGAATATGCTCATGGAAGTGTTATGTTATTAAATGGGATATCTGGCAAGTTTCAGCTTCGGTTTCGGAGAGATTAAGTTACAGTTTATACCAAGGACAAGTTAAGGTTAGGTTTACCTAATAAAGGCGACATTAGAGTTGGTTCAAGTTAGATTACAGTTAGTTTAGGGATATTTTCACGTTAGGGTTAGGTTCAGGAAAGATTAGGCTTATTGTTAGGGTTAGAAGACTTAAATAATTACATGTATAGAATGTGGTTAAATTTCTCTGTTGATATAAGAATAGAACTTGTACACTGTGGCAGAGTATAACTCCACTATGGGTAAAATTTATTTTGATAAAGTCTCACAGTGTTATACAGTGAAGTTTACTGATGATGACGTTTAAAGCACAATTTACTGTTCAGTAAATATTACTCCAACCTAAAAGTGAGAGCTATTTTTATCACATGTAAGAGGAAGGTATCTTCTGTAATAATTTTCTACAGTTTTATGCTTTTTTTAATATAAATATATGTATCCCATGCACAAAAATGCCTCCTTCACGAGACTGGAGCGTTCGAGGTCATCCCCGATTGGTAGTTAGTGGTGCTTAAAGTTTAACTTTGTCCATATATTATAACAGAGAATTTCCTCCTTTAAAATGAGCGGTTTTCTTGTTAGGGTGGTAATAAGTCAGTTATAATTGCATAATCGCAGATAATAAAATACAGTGATCAGAACTCGTAACAGTGGAAAATAAAAATTTGGTGTGGACGAAGCCGAGTGAAAAGATGATCATATAATACAGTAAGTATTTTTTTTATTTTCGTTTTTTTTTTGATTACAGCTTGATTCCACACCGTATTTTTGGTACAAGTATGGAATTTTCAGCATGGATATCGGTAGCCCGAAATTCGCAGGCCGACCATAGATATCAGGTGTGCGTCGGCGTGGGCTCGAACCCCGGACCATGTGCATGGTCGGCGAGAGTCCTAACCACTGTGCCACCGACGCAGTAGAATTCAAACGATCAAAAATTAAGTCAAACATATATGAAGGTCAAAATAAAAATGTAGAGGCTGGAAAAATGATGATTTCAGAAGACAAAGAGTTACTAAGAGGAAAATTATCAGGGTAACTGAAGCACTATGACAGATTCTTTGTAAACACAGGACGATTTTCAATGGTATTATTGCGATAGCTCCAGTGAACTGAAGGAAACTTGGACTGTTTTGTCTTCTGTCTTCACTTCAAATGCCAAATATGTGGCAACATCATACAGCTGCTGAATGACCACGATAGTATTAAAGCAGTTTCCCAACCACTCCACATATAAAGGGCCTCTCAAAGTCAATGAGGTTGACGTAGAGAGTTGACTGTCACCCCATGATCTGTTCGATGATGACGCATATAGCTGCAAATCGGTCCGAAGATGAT